ACAAGTTTGAAATTCAAATGTAGGGCGGGAACTAAATAAAATTGCGGAAACAAAGTATTTTAGGTTGATTTTTGCCCAAATTCAGGCACAAACTCATATTTTTTTAACTCTAGGTTAGTTTCCGTCCGTCGTCGACCGATTAATTTCATTTGGGAGTAACGTTGATCTAGAACTGTAACGGCCTGTTTGAACCTGCAGAACCACCATGAGCAGAAGAAAAACTAACTTTATCTGAGATTACTGCCTGTTACCAAGCAAAAGTAGGTGTATTATGTTAGGACGCAGACCGAACTTTCTTAGTATATTCGTTTTAGGAATTTAAAATACGTTTCGAAGAAGAAATGTGCAAAAATCAAGAGGACAAGTTCAAATCAAATTTCCGTTTGCCGCCATGGATTCCCGCGCTTATTTACACACTCACACAAGCGCACAGCGCCGAACCTAGCTTCACTTTTTCCCCGTGCTTTTAGATACGAGCGCTCCGTCTTTTTGTCTTTGCATTTGCCTTAGAGGATAAGTGCGTGTCGAGAGGTTATCAATAAAAGAATGAAAGTACGTAACCTTGCCTAAAAATGTTCCAAGTTCTTCAGCAGACTCAGGTTTCTTTGCTTGAACTATAGCTTGAACATGTTTATCTAGCTTATGAATTCCTTCTCCATCCAACATGTGACCAAGAAATTCAATAAATGTGAGGAAGAATTGACATTTTTCGCGAGAGAGTATAATACCCGCCTCTCTCAGCTTCTGAAAAAGTTTGTCAAGAATTGCAAAGATTTCTTCAATTGAGGAACCAAATACTAATATATCATCAAAAAAATTGACGGCTCCTTTGATACCTTTTAAAATTTGCTCCAGACGACGTTGCCAGGCAGCAGGGATATTAGAGACACCGTACTGCGCTCTTGTAGGCTGGATTAACCCATGCGTTGGAGTGTTCAAAGTCATTGCTTCGCATGCAGCCTGAGAGCACCGAAGATGCATGAATGCGTCCTTAACATCCAGCTTGCAAAAGTATTTACAGCCACGAATTTTTGCAAAGAGTTCCTCCGGCCTGGGAATAGGATAGTCGTCAATTATTAGGTTAGGATTGAGAGTGGTTTTATAATCGCCCGTAATTCTCAGCTTGTTGTTTTTGACAACAACATGTGTGGGACTAGCCCACTCAGAATGATCAACCATTTTATAGAATCCTGATTTGATTTTTTCATCAATTTGGGCAGCGTACTGATCTAGCATGGAATAGGGAAGCGGTCGAGCTCTACAAAATTTAGGTTTTGCACCTGGCTTGAAGTGAAAATCAAGAGGAGGTCCAGTGAGGGTACCTGCTTTATCCCCAAAAATATCTTTGTGTTTGTCGAGAAACTTGTTAAGGTTAATAGAGTCCATTTTATTTAGAGAATTGTGTGCACATACATTGTTAATATCAGTTTGATTGTGGAGGAGTTCATGAAGAGAGAGGAGATCTGCAAAAGGTTTAATCCATTGACGACCAAAAATGTTATCGCCAGGGATATCAGTGATGAATAATTTGAGGTACTCAGTACGATTCCTGAAAGTCACTTTAGCCCAAATGTAACCTATACAGTTGAACTTAGTTTGAGTGTAAGAGGTGAAACTTTCATTAATTTTAGTCATTCTGGCACGAGGAAATAATTTTTGGAGCGTGCTATGACTGATAAGGCTACAGGGACCACCTGTGTCGAGCTCCATACGGAGTGATTTACCATTGATGAGGACATCGAGCAAAATTGGTGGACTGCCGCCAGAGATCGATTTAAATTGATGTTGCAGATAATAAGTATCAGAATCGGGACGAAAATCATGAACTTTAGAATTATCAGAATTGTTTCTGGTATTATCATGAACTTCTTTACCATTAGAGTACTTTTTCTTCTTACATGCATTGACAATGTGACCTCGGATTTTACAGTAATTACAGACAGCATTATTAAATTTACATGTACTGCGGTTATGAGAACCTCCACAAGATAAACAAGAGTTTGTGTTCTTACTGTGAGAAGGATTGCGATGAGAATTCTTACTGTGAGAAGAGCTGCGGTGTGAGTTCTTACTGTGAGGATGACTGCGGCTCCGATAGTTTCCTGAGTTTTTCTTGAGTTTGGGTCTAGTTTCATGTGAAAACTTGCTGATAGTGGTTGAGTGTTGGACAGAAGTGGGCTTGAGGATGGCAGAGGCTTGAAAGGAAGATTCGAGGTTAGTCGCCACAGCGACAGCAGCATCGAAGTTGGCAGGTTGCTTCGTTACAATTTCATCGCGGATGTCATCGCTAAACAGGTCGTGGATGAACTGAATACTAAGCGAGTAATCTAGGAAGTCGCCAAACTCACAATATCGCGCACCGGTCTTGAGGCGAGACACAAAATCTGATATAGACTCATCAGCGTGCTGATGAATCTTCCGGAAGGTGATGGCTTCACTAAATTTGTTACGCGATTTGGCATAGTGAGAAATGAGCTTGTTTTTGAGTGATGCAAAGTCAAGCGAGCTAGGAAGGACAGGAAAACAAAGAGCATTTAATGATGCATTTAACTCGGGGCCCATGTGCACTCGAGCCTGGTTTGCCCATTGAGTTTTAGGCATATGGCACAAGTTCAATTTGAGCTCGAACCTGTCGAAGTAATCCTCTATCTGTTCTTGAGACGTTGTGGAGAAAGCATCAAAAGAGAACCGGGAGGCGGATTGGACCGTCGGTGAAGATTGGGAAGCGGCAAGCTGCAGGACCAAGTCAGTTAATTGGGCGAGTTTAGCTTCGAGGCCTTGAGGTTGAGGAGGATCTGTTTCACCATCCGACATGATGCGCGGATGCACACTTCACGGCACGGGGTCGAGCGATAGCGCAAGGAAAACGCGACCGTTAACGCAAAAACACGTTGAAGAGAGAGAGTTCCGAATTTTGAAGATCGGAAGAAATTAAACTCGTCGCCATTTGTTATATCGGAAGAAATTAAGGATGACGGAAAAGAGGAGAGCACGAGTTGCGTGACATAACCATAGAGTGTATTGATAAAGATACAACCTTGCCCAGCAGGCCTGACACCTATGTAGCGACAATATCACTACTCATACACACTACCAACTGCTACATAACAGATGCAAGTTTCCGGACCAAAGCCAACGGTTTCCTTGATCCAAGATAACAAAATTTTCTTGAACTCAAGAAACCATATTTTCTTGAACAACCTAACAATTCCTTGAAACAAAAAATACGAATAGTTGAATGGTAGTTGTATAGTTGAGTGAAGTGATGAATAGTTTTCCAAGAAACTTCCTTTCCCTTACCCACTATGCGAAGAACAAATTTTCCGAAAACTTCCTCCTTCAGTCAGTAATTTAATTTGCGGGGGGGGGGGGGGGGGACTCTAAATTTTTTGTGCGGGGCTGTGAAAAAATTTTATTTCAATCCTACGGGGGAATAAAAGCATTTTGTTGCATTGCCCCGCGCACAGCAACAAGCTATGTTTCACAGAGAAATAATCTGCGGGGCGTTGCAGTGATATTAAATAGAGGCCCAAAATATTAATTTAAGCTTGAGCTATTAAGAGGACAAGAATTGACCCTCCTCCATTTTCGAGCCCCACCCCCTTAAAATCTACTGTCTCAAATGTCCATTTTTCTCGCAGAATAGAAGCTCTGATGACGCTCTAGAAAATGAAAGATTTTGGTCAAAATATCTTGCAACGTAAGGAAGATGTAACTACTTAAAGATCGGAAAATCTTGAAAAGGTGTAAATGCATGTACGTACGTAAGTACGTACGCACGCACGTACATATGTCCCTACCCTATTTTGATCTTCCTCTAAGGTGTTAATGACCCAGATGTTAATAACTCTTTTAAATAAACGTATCTACCAACCAACCATATGGACGCACGTACATGCGTTACCCACCAATCAACCATACGTACTACCAACCATACATACATACATACATACATACATACATACATACATAACATACATACATACATACATGCATACATACATACATACATACATAACAAGGTGGAGAAATTGTGCTGGGTCCACACCATTTCGCGGGGAAACAAAGCCAAGAAATACCAAAAATTAAAATTAGAGTCAAAAATAAATTTTTAGAACTCTAATGCGCACCAGTACGTAACTGAGGGGGGAGAGTGTTCAGCTCAGGGTGACTCTAATTTAAAGTCAAAAATAAATTTTTAGAACTCTAATGCGCACCAGTACGTAACTGAGGGGGGAGAGTGTTCAGCTCAGGGTGACTCTAATTTTTATTTTCGGTATTTCTTGGCTTTGTTTCCCCGCGAAATGGTGTGGATCCAGCACCATTTCTCCACCTTGTTATACCGGGTGTCCGTAAAGTAATAGTAGTTTTTTTAAATTCTGTACTACACTATTTTGATCTCTCCTCTAAGGTGTTAATGGCTCAGATGTTACAAGCACCAAATGAACGTACCCAACAACCAACCGTACATACATCATACCTTCAAATTTTTTTCATGAAATCCCTCTTTTTTAAACGAATTAATCTCCAAATTTAATGTATTCTTTTCTCGACCTATCTTTTAATTTTGTGTACTACCCTTTTGTGACCCCTACTTTTTAAATTTAAATGCTCTATTACACTATTTTGATCTCTCCTTAAATGTGTTAATGACCTAGATGCTAAAAGCATCTTTAGGTATAAACGTATCTACCGACCAACCATACACATATTCTAATACATACTGTATTTCCGGGCCACTCTGCATTGCAGTTCCTTACACCAAATTAATTTTTAATATGTAGGTATGGTAAAACAGAACGTGTGGCAATATGCTCCTCATTTTATAGCAATTATTAGGGGTTTTACCCCCTGACCGCTGTGTGTCCCAACCTTTGGGCTCTGTTATTTTTTGATCCTCAGCTTAAGATGAGGACTCTTTTAAATGTTTTCTTGCGTTATTAACTTGATTTTCGATAATTACTTGTAAAGTTCAACTTTCCAGTCTTTCAATTTCTCAGATCTTTCAAAAGTTTCAACGATCTTGCCACGACTGTGTTTCCCTGATGACAGTTCGGAAGAAAAGGACCACGAACCATGTTGTGTCATGTACACTTACGGCCAACTCATATCCATCCCTTTTCTTGCTGCAACATTGGTGGTGCTTTTCTGCGTCCAGCCACGCTGGAATTACCATAGGAAGAGTCTCATATGCTACATAAGTAGTCTACTCGTCTCTTTTACCACTCTGACTTTCGCGCAGTGGAACATCTTAATTGCCGGAAGATTTTGTACAATTGCAGGTAAGTCTTCATTTTAGAGGCCCTCAAAATTACACTGTGGGTACGTATTTCATCCTCAGTTTTTTAAGATTTAAGATTGAAGATCGAAAATCTGAAAAGTAATTCCATTTTCATCGGCTTTAGGTACCATTCACTGAAAAAAACGTTTCCTAAATTTAAGGCGACGCCGTGTTGACCTAAGAAAATTGGATACTTGAAAAAAGTTGACAAGAAACGAAGTCTTGAATGAAGAAAACGGTATTGCCTTGGTCGATGAAAACGCGATTTCTTGAACCAAAACTCCTGTTACATTAAAGCACAAAACGTTTACTTCAAATTAGGAAACACCGCCGCGCGAAGAGTATCCTAAAAGTAAGTAAGTGTTGTGTTGTTTTCAGGAAACGTTTCCTCAAAAAAAGGAAACAGTACCTGCAAGCGTTTCCTTAAAATTAGGAAACGGCCGGTCCCGCCGCGTCGCTGCCTTGAGAATCGCCTCCCCGCTTAGTGTCTACTAGGGGGCTACGCCCCCTGGCCGCTACGCGGCCCAACCCCCTGAAGGCGCTCCGCGCCAACAATGGGCCGCTTCGCGGCCTTATTTTTACCCTCCTATCAGTGTTAGTTTTATTTTTCCCCTAAACAATTACCTACGATATGAGGTATACTTTAATTTTAAACTTTACTTAAAATTACTTTAAAATTAAAAGGACGCGTTTTGGAGTGACTGCTTGATGAAATATTGCAGTAAAACAATGAACAATGATAGTCAGATAATAATTAAGATTTCATGAGTCGGGGATCGAACCTACACCGAGTTCACAGTGGACGCATTCGACGTCGTAGACGACTCGGTCACCGCTCGACGTGAGGGTTTTGGTGCAAATCTTGTGTAGATAAGTGTAGAGCTGATGCGCAGGCCACACAGCTTCTGCGCAACCTCCTCGACCACTGCGCATCCTCCCGCGCATAGCGGTAGCAGTACCGGCGCACTCTATAAACTCACTCACTTTTATAACGTGATTTTAAAAAAACCTGGGTCCTTTTTCCAAAATCTGATTACAGCGGGCTCATCTAGGGCCTATTACCTGTCGATTTACGCAAAAATCATGGAAATCGGCCCGGTAGAACGCTCAAACGAACTATGACAAAAAGTATACATTTACATTGTTTAAATGGGAGAATTCGCAACTTTACCACGTAATATAAAAAAAACCTGGGCCATATTTTGAAAATCTGAAAAGAGTTGGCTTATCTAGAGACAATTGCCCGTCGATAACCGCAAAAATCATGAAAATCGGCCCGGTAGAACGCTGGAACTAAGCGTTACCAGTTTCGCAAAATTAGGAGGTCTTGGAGCTTATAGTATAGATATCCGTTGAAGCGCACACCACTATCATTGGCACTGCCGAGGTTAATTTCCTTCACGTAGTTGACGCGCTTCGCGCTCCCTCTAGTATCCTGATGAAGAACTCCGTTTCGCCCTGGCTGAGATTTGATCCTGTAACCTTCGACATTGTCCCGGGAAGAGTGAGATTCCGACACCGTAGTCCACTCGGCCATCCTACCCTCGCGAGCGACGAGGAGTTATTTCGCTATGTTAAACCTATTCGCATCCATCTCTTTGGCTACACAGATGCCCACCTGCTACCGTTCAATAGCACTTGGGTTTATCTAGCAAATACTACCTCAATTATCATCTAAATATATTAAATATCCACATATTTCCCTTTTCTCTCTGTTTATCAGCCGGTTTTCAGATATTATTTAAAGACCGTGGGCCATCGCCGCCATAACTTTACCAACGTACCTATGCCCCTTTCTTTTTCATTCGGAGATAGTATGATCATGGAGTAGATTATTTTTTTATTTATGTCTGGTTAAAGGACAGATTTTCATACGTGCCTCTCAAAGGTATTAAATTATCACTCATTCGATTATCCAATCTGACGCCCATATCATTAAGGTTAATGCATAAATCAAGGAGGCTCATGTGAGAACCGCTTCTCATACTGAAAGTAAGGTGAGGTTGGGTAACTGGGCGGTGGGGTAACTGGGCAGTACCCTCTGTATTTCTACCAGATTAGTGCAAAAATTGTTTTCACTGTTGGCATACCTTCATTATGACGTAAACCATCTAGAACATGTAAACATAACTTCAAAAAAAAAATTTATGGTGAATGGTGAAGTGCCGAAAATTGGACAGCTTTTTTTTCAAAACAACGCCGGAGGTGGTCCCGAAAAGAGCCTCATATCTCACTCCCAGCAAGTATTTTATTCAACTTTGACAATTCTTCTTCATGTATGACGTATTTGTGTAATGCGTGAGTAATTACAACGTAATTGGATGAAAATACTGGCTGCAAAGGGTTGATGCCCAGTTACCTTGAAAATTTTCCCTTTGTGGGGTAACTGGGCACCCACTCCAAGGTAACTGGGCAGGTGGCAGTGGTGGCACCTGCCCAGTTACCCATTGCAAGGTTGCTGTGCTTCGGTGTTTGTT